ATTACCAGGTAAGCGTGCTTAGAAATTTAACTGAATTCATCTTTTGTACCAATATCCCTATTATTGACACTGCATCTTTGAGCCTACATTATACATTCTTTTGTAGTGCATATCAACCTGCTGCCCTCTAAATTTTTGGGGGGCTTCATCCAGCATAGAATGAGACATAATTAAACAAATCTGGTGGTTATGTGTTTGAGGATTCCTAACTTAAAATATGACTCTGGCATCTCTTCCATTACTCTCTCAATATATCTCTTCTCCCAAGACCACGAGAAAGGTACTTATAGAACAGTCCAATACCCATGACTACAGAGTATCTCCCTTTCCATCCCTGCTGTGACAGTAACATTTGAATAGGTAGTCCTCAACTTACAACAGTATGCTTAGTGACCGTTCAGTTATAATGGCATTGAAAAAAGTGTTTTATGACCATTTTTCAAAATTATAATCATTGTAGCATCCCCAGGTTCATGTGACTTACAACTGATTCATATTTATGATGGTTGCAGTGTCCCAGGATCATGTGACCAGTTTTGCAACTTCCTGACAAAGACAATGGGGAAGCCAGATTCACTTAATGACTGTGTTATTAACAACTGCAGTGATTCACTTAACATATGTGGCAAGAAAAGTCGTAAAATGGGACAAAGCTCACTTAACGAATTTTTTACTCAGCAACATAAATTCTGGGCTCAGTTGTAGTCATAAGTTGAGGACTACATGTAAATATGTGAAAATCTTCCCTTTCATAACAGTATGCCTGAATAAGTAGAATGTTAATTTCATAAGGATATGCATTCTTCCAAACAGTAAAGTTACAAAAATACAAGATGCTCCAAATGCTTTTCTGCCAATAAATGGCTGTGTAGAGTTTGCAGTCCTAATGCAAAGAAAAACTGGTTGCAATATGTATTGTACTAGAAAGACAACTGAAGAAAAACCATAATCTTTCTTTCTGGATTAGAGTACACAAAACACAATTACCAGTAACTTTCTAAAGCAACATTTCCACTGGATGGTGAGCACCACTATAGGAAAGTGAGACTTGTAAATAGAGACTTGTAAAATTACCAATGTGAGAGAAAAAGGAATGAGATAAACAGAAAGACTAGATAAGTGACATTTCCTTTTCTCTATTCATGAAAGAGCCTATGACAGTGATGGCGAACCTTTTAGAGACTGAGTGCCCAAACTGCAACCCAAAACCTACTTATGCATCGTCAAGTGCCGGGTGGGTGTGGCCCATTGGCTGTGGGTGGCCCATTGGGTGGGCGTGGCCCATTGGGTGGGCGTGGCCCATTGGGTGGGCGTGGCTGTGGTGGTAACGGCAGACTGGGTGGGACTAAAAAGTTCAATCAATCAATTCCAACTTTGCAAGATCTTTTTTTCCCCGTGAGAAGTTGAAATTGAAATTTTTTTTTTGCACACGGCAGCGGAGGCCTAAAGTGAAAAGGTTTTATAAAACCCAGCTGAAGGCCTAGGACTGGGCGATGGCGCGCATGCCCACAGAGAGGGCTCTGATTGTCGCCTCTGGCACCGTGCCATAGTTCGCCACCACTGGCCTATGACCTATGTGAAATTACAGACTAGCCTAAAATAGGTTGGTTTGTGATTCAGTGTGTTATAATATGAAGTCAGGTAACTGGCTTAATTCAGTTAACTATGGTAGTTAATCATGGTGTAGCATATCGTGCAAGCATAGCATACCTTTCTGTTTTTTCCCTTTTGAGACAATACTCACAAGAGGAGAAACAATTCACAATCCACAATAAGAGTTAGTCTGGAAAACAAAGGTTTCTAGATTACAATTCTTACTAAATTTAAGCAGCAGCCATGCTGATAAAGTTTGAACTTCATTAACTTCTAGAGAACCAGAAGCTGTCTAGCCCTAGTTTAGGGAAGTAATAGATCTGTCATGAAAAACTCTTGACTAGAGGGGCCCTGAAAGAATAAGAAAGTTGACATTTGGGGGCATTTCCAAATGTGTACTTTCTGGGTGGTTTACAAAGTCAGTATATTGCCCAACAATTTGGGTCTTCATTTACTAACTTCAGAAGGATGGAGTCAACCTTCAGCTGGTCAGGATCAAACTCCTGGCAGTGGGCAGTGTTAGTCTGCAATACTGCATTCTAACCACTGCACTACCACGGCTCCTAAACAACATTTTAAACTATAAATAAGCCAGCCACATTTTAATTTGAGGCTGCACTTTGAAAAGTATAAATCTGTTTTACACAAGCAAAGACAAAGTAGAATGGATATAGTATAGATCTCCTACACTGTGTGCATGTTTCTTAATGAAATGTACAACTAAAGAAGAAGAACAAGGGTGGGTTACAAGTTCCTCAGGTAATTCTGTTGCACATTGGTCCAGCAGGACACCACAGTGGATTTGTGTTATAGCACAGTCATCTTCTATCCAATCTCAGAGAACATAAAACAAAGGAAAAACCAAGCAGAAAATATAGACATACTATACAGACAATAACTAAGTAGCAGCAACACTTTGCAGAACAGAAATGCTATGCTGAAGATGAAAAATAAGACCAAATCTCAAACATCAAACATAAATCCTCCCACACTTAATCACAGTCAGATGTAAATAGAAAATGCAAACATTATACACTCAGATATAAATAAACTACCTTGCTTTGCTTTATTACTGTATAAATTCAGAGAATTGCAATTCCAAACATTTTCAGAGCCAAAGTTAAGAAATGTTGTTCTCTAATATCTGTTTTCACATCCAATAGTAAAAACAGATTTAAAGAGAGGTCCTGCAAGAATTATAAAAAAAATCATCATCGTGTCACAGCATTTTCACTCTAAAGATATTATGTCAGGTGGTAGTCATTTATCTGTAAAGAAACCTCACTGAACAGATTTGTGCTGCTGACTGCTATTCCTCTTATATTCCACAGTATAGTATTAGAGTTCAGTTGATAGCAACTGCAGAATCAGAAAGCCTAGCAAATATCTGTTTTCAATAAGAAAGCTTCTGATATTTCTGCCATTCTATGATTTTGTACAAATATTTTGTGGTAGCCAACAAAACCATACCTTTTCTGAAATAGTTATTTTTAAATGTGGGGTCAAGTTGAAAGGCTTGAGAAAAGTTTGAGATTTGATTATTTTAAAGAGACAAATGGTGTTAAAATGCATCTCAGATTTGTAAGTATTTACAGAATGTTTATACATGTTCCTATTACCCAGATTTACTGAAATTTTCTAAAAACTCTCAGAAGCAACAATAAAACTGAACATAAAGTATTCTTAATACTACAGTGAATTTCTGTCTCATATTCTTCTTTAGAAAGTTTGCACTTATTAAAATAGCAGTTGTCATTTGAAGAACAATGAGATTTTGTGTTTTTCTGCCACTACGTTTGTATGATACATCGATCTACCAACTAGGAAACTGCTTTAAACGCACCCCATGTGGTTGGTTTATGGTTCACTTTATCATGTGAACTCAGAAAATTGGGTTAAATAACGAATAGCTCAGATAACCAAGCATAAGCATGTCATGCAGGGGTCTTCAAACTTAGCCCTTTTATGACTTGTGGACTTCAACTCCCAGAATTCCTCAGCCAGCATGCCTGGCTGAGGAATTCTGGGAATTGAAGCCCACAAGTCATAAAAGGGCCAAGTTTGAAGACCCCTGACTCATGCGACAAAACTAACATGACAGCTATTTATAGACAGTCAGAAGGAAGTAACAGTATCATAACCAAAAGGTACTATAATATTTGGAAATACTACATACGCAGGAATCAACTTGCCTGGAATTATTTATGTAAGCAAATTATTGAAATCAACATTTCTATTAGTGATTCCACTGGCCAATAAAAAAATCCTACTTCAAATGTATTTTTTAAAGAAGTAGCAACTTTCTTTTTTATCTATAGGCTTTCTTTCTACAGGTAATCTTTCTAATCACATTCAGATGGGATACCTCAAAAGCATTCTGATGGATACCTCAATATCATCTGAGAAAAAAATGGATGAGGATTTTGTAAAGTGCTCATTGTATTGTATTTTAATCGTCATTAAAAAAAACAGTAGCTGAGTCAAGAACATCTAATTATTTTACTTATAAATGTGAACTGTCTAAGAAATTGACTTTGGAAGGGTTAATTCATGATTCTATAATTTTTAAAAAAAGCCTAGCGAAAGATGCATATAGGTTAAAATGATCTATTTATAAAAATCCTGCAGCTGCCTTGGACTTTTGCAATGAAACCAAACGAAATACTGTATGGACAAGATAATATCTTTAGCAAAATAAAAAATAAATATCTAAGAATTATGTTTGTTGCCGGGAGGGGGGCGGGGGGGAAAGGGGCTTGTTACAAATCTGTTCCGGTCTCTAATAACTGCATTGCGTGTTTGGAGCAAAAATTCAAACAACTCCCAAGCAAAAATTGTGTACGTCTTCACAGTTCCAGAAATCGTTCTAATGACTACCACTACTCACTCCATTGTGTTTCTTGTACCCTCGTTTCAAAACGCCAGAGCATTTTAGCACTAACCCAACGTTCCAACTCACGCACATTCCCATATTTGACCCACACTCGCTCCGTCCCTCCCGTGGAAATTTGGCCCCCTAAACTCACCGTACTCACGTGCCTTCTCCGCCGCCGCCGCCTCCCGCTCTCTTTCCTCTCCTATTGGTCAGAAACCTGACACCTAACCCGGAAGTGAGGGTAAGCTTCTCACTCCACGTGGGAAGAGTCTGGTTGTGTGTTGTTATCGTGGGAACTTTCGCCGAAGGGCTTGTTGAACTTTTGGCGAGTTGCAGTTATGGATTCCGGGGCATCTGCGGCGATTGGTACGTTTTTTTCCCCTCTCTTTGTCTTTCTCTGCAGATTTCTGGCGAGGTTGAGCTCTGGTTCACCCCCTCCTCTTTTCTCTCGCTATGGCAGAGGGACCGGAGAGCTCGAGGCTTCCTTTGTCAGACAGCGAGAATGAGGACGCTTGGGAGGAAGAGGAGGAGGAGGAGGATGGTGCCGACGACCCCAGCGCCCAGATGGAGGGACCTTCGCAGAGCACCCCCTGCCTTTTCTGCGACAGGTTGGACTTCTTAGGAAAAGAAGTTGGAAAGAATCGCCTTCCTCCTGCCTAGCATACGAGTTTTTGCTTGATCTCCGTTATCTCCTTTCCTTCTCCTTGTCTATGAAGATCTCAGTCATCCAGGTCATGGTTGTCCCAAAGGCACGTTTTCCGGAGGCAACTGGACTTTCTTGTTTTTCTTTGAAGACGTTTCGCTTTTCATCCAAGAAGCTTCTTCAGCTCCGACTGGATCCTTTAATTCCCCACCACCCAGTGAGAGCTGAAGAAGCTTCTTGGATGAGAAACGAAACATCTTCAAAGGAAAAAACAAAGTCCAGTTGCCTCCGGAAAAAGCACCTTTGGGATTTCCTTCTCCTTGTTTCAGCAGAGTCCCCAAAGAGGCGTATAAAGGGCAGGAAAACAACCCAGCAATTTAAATCGTGCAAGGAAGCTTCTTGTTAAAATGAAAGTCAGCATCTTGACACCTTTTTCCACTCCTAGCAGTGTAACATTTTTCTTAAAAAGACAACCCATGCACATAATCTTTTTTTAAAATTCAGAAGTTGTTTAAGTTAGCAGCCCAGAGTTGCTTGGGATAGCAAGATGGGGGGCATATTTAATTTAATAATTTAATTTAATAATTTAATTTATATACCGCCCTTCTCCCGTAGGACTCAGGGCGGTGCACAGCATATTAAAACAGACAAACAAAATACATCAAAGAACAAAAAAACCCCATAAAACCAAATTAAAAGCCAAATATTAGAAGCTGTGTGTCAATTAAAATTTTCTTAAAATCATCCCTACCTAAAA